GTAGGTGACCCTGCTTCGGCAGGGGGGTTGGACTAGATGACCCACAGAGGTCCCTTCCAACCCTGAACATTCTGTGATTCTGTATGTAAAAGCTTTTTTGACAGGAATTTATAATGATTGCTGATGAGGACTGGATTTGCTACATTATGATACTTAGAAGCATGGAGACTTGCCTTCTAAGGGTAAAGATTAAATCAAATAATTCCATATTAGAATATTATAGATAGAAGACCCAACAGGCAGTGTCCAATGAAAAGTGTGTCTAGCACAGTATGTTTTCTCTACTATTAATTTCCTGGCTGCTGCTTAATGATCTGGCTTTATGTATTGGGTGACTGGTGGGGAGTGTTGTTGGCTGAAGGTTTGGGAGTTTTAGTTGCGTGTGTTGGTTTTGGGGTTTGATTTGTTTTGTTTGGTGGGTTTTTTGTGTGGTGGGTTTGTTTGGGGTTTTTTCCCCTCTAACTTCAACGTGGGTCTTATGCTGTATCTCCCTCTTCAGCATGACAACCCTATGGGTTTTAATCTACATCAAAGAAGATTGAATTTCATTTTTGTGATTTATGTGTGTTTCTGTATCAGTGCAAAATGTGGTCAACTGGCAGGACATTGCTCCCTGATGTAGCTTCGTTGATAGAGATTCTAGGATATGCCTGGGTTGAATGGAATAGTGGCAGTATGGATTGCTGGGGAGTTTTTTAGTTTGTTGTGTGGTGGGGGTTTTCTGTTTGGTTGAGTTTTTTTAACTGATTCAGTAACAAGGAAGTTCCACATGGTGCCAGTGCTAGAGCTATAAACGTAGTGTCCAGTCCCATGGAAATTGTTTTATTCTGTATGGTGAAGATTTCAGGTTTTTAAAAGGATCCTTTGAAGCCCTGAGCTCTTCTTATAAGGAGGTGTATATGGCATATTTTTAATAGAGGGTATTGTAATTTTTGAGAGAGAAAGTAAGGAAGAGTAGAATTAAATATTTTATTCCTTTTAAACAGTCTTTTGGGCTTTCAGTAGTGGTGGAAAGTGCAGAGGATCAATACTTGATGTTCATTCTTAAATTTTAAATTGAGTGGCTAATGCAGACTAATGCAGTTGGGGCAAAATTACTATGAAAGGAATCTGCAGAAGTTTTTTTGTTTGTTTTTGTTTTCCATTGACTGGTTAAACGATGGTGAGCCATCTAAACTGAAGTAATTTGAACAGCGAAATGACTGTGCTGCTGTTTGGGTTTTTTGGCTGTGGGTTTTTTTTCCTATTGATGTAGCTTGTGTGCGTGTTTATTACAGTAGATGCACCACAGTCACCTTTTGAATACATGGTAAAAACATTCAGAATAACTTTGCTGTTTCTAATTTTCAAATGTTTGTTAAAGAAATTAATCTTACGGTTTAAAACTGAGTTTGCTAATGTTGGCAGAACTGTGTATCCTTTGCAGCAGAAGAATGCTATGCAAAATAACCTAAAAAAACTTCAGCAAGAAATGGCTGTACTTGAAGCAGTGCTAAAGCAGCATGAAGGTCAGGACTGTGAATTTTTACCTATCCAAAGGGAACTGCTACATTCGAGAAGTGAAGGAACACTTGGAATGGAACAAATGAGAAAAGAAAGAGGTAAATAGCAATGAAAACCTTTCCCAGCTTTCTTTCAAGCAGTTGTGTGACTATTACAAGTTTGTTTTTCCCTCTACTGCAAATTATAGTGTTAATTTAAAATTGATAATGTTAACAGAATTTTACCTAAATTCAGCTGTTCATCGAGACATACATGTTTTAGTTATAACTTGAGTGCTACAAATACTTGAGTGCTAGAATAACTTAACATCCTGGAATTCAAAGTTACTTCGTGTCTTATTATTCCTTTATTGTGTATGGTTTTCACTGTGGGGCCTTTTCTATCTAAATTCAAAGGCTTTCATTACTGCTGTGGGTGCTAGTCAAATACCATAAAACAATTTGTAGATTGCTTTTAATCTCCTATATGATGGCATTGTGTAGTGTGAGGTGTGAGACCTTTAGATTAAGCTTTATCTTGAAAATAAAAAAAATATGAAATTGTCAGCCAATATGGTGCAGCTATACCAACGGATCTTCTGCTTGAGTGTTAGTAAGTTGTTGTCAGAGTGTAGTCTGCATCAGGAAGCTCCTCCAAGGAGAAAAGGGAGCAAGACAGAAAAAGTGAAGAGGCTGAGCCTTTAAAGATACACAGTGGTTTGTTCAGCTCATTCAAAAATCTGAGGTAACAGCATCCTGCCTACTGTGGCTGCTGCTTGGTTAGTTGGACTCCTGAAAGGAAAGTAGGGTCATTTATTGTGGAAGAAATTTGCTGTAATCCTCTTCTGATTTTGTGTTACCAATTTAACAACTGTGCTGTGTTTTCAGCCTTCACTCTATCTCATCTCTTGGACATCTTGAGCCGTTAAAACATTGACTGTATATTTAACATTAAGAGATTGGTTATGATCCATGCTTAGTTAACAAAGCTCGTTGAATGGCATGGCATTCAGCCTTACTATGGTTTGAGAATATTATTTCATAGTGAAGACCTCAAAATTTGACATTTCTAAGCCCAGTAGGCCAAATCCATAGACTGCTTGAAGATTGAGTCGGCCTACCAATGGTTAGTTTGCTTTGGATGTGAAAACTACTTAAAATAATTTCATTAATACAGTGCATGTTTACATTGTTATGCCAGAATATGGATTTCTGATTCACAAAAACCTAAATGGATTAGAGTTATTGGTGGTTTGGTAAAAATTATAGGCGTCTTTAGCTATCAAATAAATGCCTCTCTACTGCTTGTGAACAGAGATATGGTAATATGTTGAGGGAATTCATAAACAGATTGCACTAAATAATGTAAATTTGCCTTCAGCCTATTTCATGTCTTGCTTTTTCCACCTGATGCATAGCTGACACCTTAGTTTTGTAGATGATTTAATATGTGAAATAAAATGTAGTTGTTAGCTGTGCTTAGTATTTAGTGTAGATTTCTGTTTCAGGACACTTCCCTCTCTAAAGTGTATCTGGATTGAGATTTTGAGAGAATGCTTGACTTCTTGCCTGAAGAAACAATTAAGAACGGTTGCTTTTATTTTGCTTGTTTAAGAATTATTTCTTTTTTAAAGGGGCAGAATCAGCCTCAGAAGGAAATTTTGAAAATCATAAATGCAGCAGTTCAAAGAGATTTTCAGCCAATGACTTGCATGTTATGCCAAGTGGTTCTTTCAACAGTAAAATCAAAGAAATAGAAAGGTAAATGGCTTTGGTTTGTTCTGTTCTGGGTTTTTTACTTTTATTTCTGATCTTATATTTATTTTGAGATTTTTTTTTTTATACATCTCAGCTTTTGAGCAATTACAGTAGCTTAGCTGTTACTATATGGTTCTGATACTTAAACCAAATTTCCCTTTCTCAAGGTCTCCAGAACTGTTGCTTCCATCTTCTAAATCTCATTTGTTAATGAGAACAGATTTGGAGAAAGGCCTGCAGTGTGACACTGTTCTGAAGAACAAAGGTCCTTCTGAAAAGACAAAACCTGTGCAGGAAGCAGTGCAAGAATGTAGTCAGCGTCAGCTTGAAGCAGGTAACATTTAAGAGGGATCCAACACATCTTGCTTTCTGCTTTTTTTTTGTGTTTTTACATACTGGCAGGATACAACTCTTTCTTATAAAGCAAGTATTTTAATTTATATATTCCTAGTAAGTTTTAAAAGATGTTACTACTTGTTTGGTTGATTTTTGTTTGGTAGCCCATCTGTATAGCTGTCTGTCAAAGATGGCGTTGGACAATGTTTTGATAGTAATGGGAGTTATTATCTGTCTCATATATAAATTGGTACTTCTTGACAGATATGCTACTAAAAGTTTCACAGGTATTCAGATGTCTCAGCTATTGATCAGGAAAAAGTAATGATAGAGACAAAGGTAAATTAATAAGCAAGTTAAGAGAGGAAGCGACTGCAGCATTTAAGCTTAAAAGGTAGAGCAACAGCCTTCCACCATGACTACAAGGAGGATGAAATTGTTTCAATGATTAATTTCTCTTTTCCTTCAGAAAATGCAGATGAGCAGAAGTCTGGGACCACGCTAAATAGTGCATCTGTCTTATCAAATCTCTCTGGAAATGTGACCACAAGTCCAAATAGCTCTTCCTCCTCTGTAAGGCTTCTTAACTCTCACACTGCAGAAGCAACAAATAGTTCTGTTGTAGCTCAGAATGCTAATAAAAGCTGTGCTCGAGAATGTAAATCGAAGAGAAGTCTGTGTTTTCCAATACCTGTTCTGCACAATGCAGCTGGGAAAGAAAATGCTACAAGTCCAGTTGTGACTAACAGGAAAGAACTGTCAATTGTGGCATCAGGTCTGAATCAAAGTGAACATGTAAGTATATTTCAGAAGTTCTAGAGATCACTTATTAATTAATCGTTCCTGATTACCACTATTGTTATCAACATAGAATCCAAGTATAACGTAAACTAATCTTATAGGAATTGCAGATCAGCACTATAGCAACTCAAGTCAAACTTTCACTCCCAAAAATATGAAAAATGCTGCCTGTAAATGGCACTATTAAGCTTAGTGAAGTTTGAACTCTTTAAATGACTGCCTGCTGTCTAGGGGAAAAACCTATTCTTGCAAAGCATGAAGACTTTACTTCTAGAAAGACTTGGGGCTTGGAGGGAAGGGGGCTGGTTGGTTGGTTCCCATAATATTCTCAGGTGCTGCTTCTTTACACAAATTCTGATCCATAGTGAAGTCTTCTGTAATGAATCAATTCTGAATTGCTAATAAACCTGTTTCCATGGTCCGTTTCCAGGAGGATATGGTTTTTGGTTTGTAAACTACTGACAGAGAGCTGCTCTTTACTTTAGCCTATGATGCCAAAATTACTGACTTTTAGGGAAATTTACATGCTATGTGCCAACACAAATAAAACCATTACTTTAAAGTAGCCATCTTACTATATTATACTCTATAAATTGGAGTTGTTGGGGTTTTTTAAGTCTGTGTTAGCTATTAATTTTCTTAACTACCTTTCAGCTGGTGGTCCAGAAGTTTGCAAGAAAAACTCAGAGCACTTTATCTAATCACATTACTGAAGGAACAACCCATGTCATAATGAAAACAGGTTTGTTGAGAAGCTATATGAACAAATCCTATATTTACACACCATATAGAATTTTCACTCTAGGCTAACCAGCAAGCAAGACAGGTCAGCAATAAATACAAGTAACTTTGAGGAGAAGGTATGAATTGTTTTCTTCTCTGTCATAATTTTTTTGTTTAAATTGGGAATCTTTCTTATTCTATTTCACAGAATCAGAGTGAGGGTGTGTTTTGTTTCCTTGTGTGATTTGAAGTTAATATTACTTTTTTTCTCCAGTGGTTTGGTCACAGTTTTCAGGTGTTTACAGCATATTAACGTGAAGTAGTTCAGAACCAACCAAAAAGAAAGCAAGATAGTTCTTAAAGAAGTGGGAGACAAACATTCTGGAAATAAGATGCTATCTTGGTTTCCTAATTCCTTGCAGGGAATATAAATGCTGTTTCATTCTAAATTTTTAAAATAAACATATCTTTAATAGGAAACTAGAAGTGGGACTTAACTGTGCATATAGCTGATGGTAGTTGACAGTGAAGGTGTACTTCCACAGGAACAAAGCAGCAGTACCATTTCATCGTAACTATTTGCATGCTTAATTAAGGTGCTTAAATTAGTTTTTGTTCTTTGGTAGAGCTCAAGAATCCCATTATTAAAAGCTTGAAGGAACTCTATAGAAACAGTACTATACTACAGTTCCAAATTTGACAAATGTATTGTATTCTGAAACAGATAGCATTATATTGACTTCAGAAAAGCATAGTTTTCATCAGTAGAATTGAGTTACTATGTTGCTGTGTGTAGGCAGAGCTTATATTTAAGCTCTCTACAGAACCTAGCACCTGACTTTAACCAACATTTTCTTAAAAAGCAGAACAGTTTGAACCAAATCTGGGTGTGGATGTGCTATATACTATGCCTGCATGTTGCCTCGTAGAAGCACTTCTAGCTGGCTCGTGTTTGAATACAATCTGTCATATAAGCCTTTTTTGCTTTTGAAAACTAACATAGAAACAGAGCCAGAAAATCGTATAACTCCAAATCTATGGACTCAATTTTTGGCTGTCTCTTCAGGAAGTGTATCATAGACACGATAACCATATAGTTTTAGAGAGGTAGATTGTTCTGTCTTGATACAAACACAGATAGGATAAGCTGCCTTCTGAAGTTGTACCTGATGATCTTAAATGGTGAGTCATCTAGAAGTTAATGCCAACATTAGGCACTGAATCCTACTGTTAGTGTCCTCTGTCTTGACTAGTATTCATGCTTTTTCTTGCCTCTTATCTTTACTGAAGAACTGAAAAAGAGTTCAGAAATTGTACATGTGATTAGTTTCTGCTTGTTTCCTTCAGTTTAGCAGAATCAGGACACAAGAATTTTTGAACCTTTCGGTAGGCAGTCTTGATATTTTGCTGCTGCACTTGGCAAAAAACTTTTTACATTTAAGTACAAATAACCTGAACTGGTGTTTTCACTAATTGCAAAACTGAAAGAGACCTTATTGTTTGCTCTGCAGATAAGGAGCTGGTGTGTGAACGGACACTGAAGTACTTTCTGGGTATCGCAGGAAAAAAATGGGTAGTTAGTTATCAGTGTAAGTATAACTTGTTTTGCAGCTGAATGGTCTCTGCCTTTCTACAATAAATGTACTCTTCATTTGTTCCAGTAAAAAAAAAAATCTCTTCATGTCTTGGCATCTGATGTTTTAAAGAGTTTCTTCTAAATACTTTAAAATAAAAAAAACCAAACTCGAAACAAAACAGCAACATCAAGCTTCTTTCACTCCTGAATACTTTCCCTGCTTTCAAATAACCACATTGGGTTGCTCCCCACCCTGACAAAAGCCTTTCCTCGCTCTTCATTTAGATCTTTTTAAATATTATTTATAAAAGGTAAAAAAGAAGTCTTTAAGTTTTCAGGTATCATACTGTATTCAGCTTCCCTTAGTACAAATACCTTCAATTTAACGTAGCAATGAATTCAGATTATTGGCAGTGGAAGAACAATTTTGCTGGATAAAATGACTTGTCCTGTTCTGATCTTCTTATTTAGGGGTAATTCAGTCTTTAAAAGAAGAAAGGATACTGGATGAGGTAGGTCTTTTATCTTAAGAGTGAAATGTCAAATGTGTAAGAAATGCTATTAGTAGCCTCAGATATTGTCTAAACATTTAATATATGGAAATTTGGCACTGAAAACTGAGATTCTAGTTTTACCAAATGCTAGGACCAAAAGCCACACTTAAGCTATGTGTATTCATTGCTATTGAAGACATAATGGTACCCTGTTATTTTTTGGAACGGGTTATAGGCATATTTTTGCAACTGTTCATGTTGATATTGATGGATTACAGCATAGAGGAAAAGATCTATTGTTTGCTTAAAGAAAGGACGTTGGAACATAGCTATATACGTAGTCTTGTTTTTAAAGTTTAGAATAGCAAACTACTGAATACTTGTTCCAGCATTTACTGCCTTCTACCTGCCTAGTAAAAATGGCTTATTTGATATGACCTTGATTTGGGAGGATTTTTGTGTTCCTGGGTAGTATTTGGATTTTCATTCTTTAGTACAGATTTTTGAAGAATGTCATATTAGTGACATAGTGTGGATTTCGTATATCTAATGAGCAGAAATGCCCACTTTCTGGTATGAAATCCATAGGCCCTTTTGTCAAGCCAAGGGTGAAGAAGAAAAATCATAGCCCCGAAAAGGTCCTAGGAAGGGGTATTAAAGGCCCTCCTGTACTTGGAGTGAAAGGGGGAAGTTGCTACAGTATTGACTGGGAATGATAGAATGTGGAACAGCTGTTAACATAATATGCTCTCACATTGCTTTAAGCAAGGAGAAAAGCTCCAGTTATAATGAAAACAAATTTTTTTTTTTCTTCCAAGTAAACTGAAAATATGTAGCTGTTCTTCATATTCTTGTAGCAGGTTAGACTGCATGGGAGTTTTGGAGAAGTTTCAAGGAAGTATTAGAGAAATGGGGGTTTGACTCAGATGTAGGCCTGAAATTACCACATGCAGCACTGTATTGGTTATTAATCTATATACTAAGTGAATGCCTTGAAATAAAATAGATGTTGAAGATCTAGGGGCTATATGCTGATAATTCATTTGTATCAAATGAGACTTTACTGATAAGTTAGTTACAGTGTTGGAATGTGCGCCTTTTATACAGTTTGCTAAAATACAGTTTGACTATAATTTTTTAAAAATTGTCTGATGCTGCAGGAGTTTCATTACTGCTATCCATCATTTTTCTTGAAAAGTCTTTTAATTAATTTTCTGCACACAGTTAACTAAGGTTTCCAGTTCTGAAATCTGACAGCTTCTTCCTGTTCTGATCCAGAACTCTGACCAGGAAAGTGTTCTCAGTCACTAACTTCTGACTGCTTGTTTGCGTTATGTTCCAGGAGAACTTTGAAGTTAGAGGAGATGTAATCAATGGGAGAAACCACCAAGGTCCTAAGAGGGCTAGAAAGTCTCTTACTGAAAAGGTACGAGCACATCAGTGAGGAAAATCCTGTCCTGCTGTGACCATTTCAGACATGTGGCTATGCTAGCTGAATATTTGGAACTTCTTCCAATTTCTCTGCTGTTCCATGCATACAGAGTTGTACAAATTAAGCACTGTTATACATGAAAGGTGAGCTCTGTCAGCAGCAGTGTGGATATGCTGAAGTGACTCACTATGCATACAGTGAATGATGTCTTTTTATAAGATTAGTATAGGATAGCACAGGATTGGGGATTTTTGATGATGTTCTTTTGTTTTGTAGATTACAAAGAGCTTCAGATATACTTTGTGAAACAGCAATAGCTTGATAACCAGTCCTAGAAGTGCAATAAAATCTGCATATTAAGTATTGTCCTTTAAGGGTACTGTATGTACTCTGTTAACATGTTCCTTGTTTTTCAGATCTTTAAAGACTTTGAAATCTGTTGTTATGGACCTTTCACTGATATGACTACAGGTGTGTCATTTTAGTGGAATTAAATGAACTCTTAGCATAAAAAAGTATTTGGAGGGGGATTGTGTACATTGACCAGAGCTTTACATTTGACCTCTTCTTGGATACTCCCGTACCTCTTCTACTCAAACTTTCAAAATACCTATATGAGGTATAGTGTGAAGAACTTTATCCAGTTTTGTCTCCAGATAGAATGAAAATGGTGTTCTCTGCTATTTGGATGTCCTCAGAGGACTGCTCTGGCAACTTTGCTGTGTTTCAAAACAGGCCTTTTATCTAGTTTGTCTCTGCTTCTTTAGCAATGAAGGAAAAGCATTAATATCATGCTGTCTGGTAATTGCTTGAGATGGTATTGAACTCTTGTATTTGAGCATTTTTTTTCTTCTTAGTAAACAGTTCCTAAGTACTCTTTTTCTAGCCATTGACACATCCTCAGTGTAATCTTCTCTCTTGAGCAGTAGATGTTAAAAGTGAAACACACAACAAAGCCAGGAGTTTATATACAAAGGAAAAGCTGTGCAGGGTAGCTTTTTTTTTTAGTTTAAAATTGAATAAAGTATTGGTAGATGTTTTGAAAACATAAGCTAAAATTTTTCTGCTGAAAATATTTGTACCTTCCCATTTTTGTGGCTTATTCAGCAGGTACTTTCTAATTTGTCCAATATAACTTTATTTTTCACTGGGTGAAATATCCCCGCATCTCTTGACATTTACAATAATTACTACAGAGGATGCAGTGCTTTCACCTGCTGCAGTGATCATCAATTATGGTTCTTATACTTGACAGACTTGTTCATCTTCTTCACTATTAATTCAACAAATTGGTGCAAATTAAATACTTTGGCTATGTTTGTTAATGAGAGATAATCACAGTTCTGACTTCTGATCTTTAATTTTAATTTCATGTCTTACATTCTTATGATAAGAGGAAGTAAATTGTTAGTGACTTAATCTTTAAGTTTTGGACATGTAGTGTTTTGCTTTTTCAGGGGTTTTTTTTGTTTTGTTTAGTCCTGACTAGAGGGTGAGTTGATGTTCCTCAGCAGTCTAGAAAGTGAAAGAACTTATTCTCTACTAAGGCTTACATTTCTTTCAAATGATGATAGTTTATATCTTGGAACAAACATGTGAGGGCTCAGAGAATAGTGTCAGTTTCAACATGATATGAAACATTGGGGTAATAGACTGTTTATCTGATTTCTTCAGAACATCTAGAATGGATGGTGGAGCTTTGTGGTGCCTCTGTAGTGAAGCAACTTGATCAGTTCACACACAAAACAGTAAGTGTTAATGAATGTTACACTTAACATAGTGAACAGTCTATAGTTACAATGTGTTGAAAGATTACATGGCCTTCATGGGCTTATCAAAGACTGATGCATACAGGTGTGTTAGAGAGAATGATCTGCGCAGTAACGATGCCAAATTGCATGGCAATAATTCTTGTGTTGTAGGCTCTGGCTGCTCTGTATTAAAAGACAGGCTAACTTCTAGTGGAAAACTGATCAGAGTACTCTATGTAGGCCAGATAGCTAATCTTGAAATCAGCGCTGAGCCTCACTTTCCAGTGCAAAAAACCTTTAGCACCTTAACTTAGTCACAATGTTCCTGAAGAGAAATCACAGAAAAATCTTAGGAACTAATGTCTTTCTCCCTCTACTACCATTTCTTAAAATCGTCTCTGAAGTGATGCACTGAAGCAGAGTCAGCCCAGTTACTGCTCTCTGCAGACAGGTGTGAGAGTGATTTAATGACAGACAGAGAACAGTAGCATTTTTATTTTCTTATCTTGAAATCCTAGAATTCTACTGCTGTTGTGGTTGTGCAGCCAGATGCATGGATGGAAGACATGGATTATAGAGGTAAGACGACACACTGTCATGGATAGTTTTATGGTACACACTGAGTGTCTTTATCACCTCAGTCCTTTTAATAGTTAAATATCAGAGAGTTTTTTTGAGGAGTCAAAGTAAAATCTTACTGAATCTGGAGATGGAGGTATATCTTGGAAGAAAAATCTGAAAGGACAAGGTATATTGTCACAAGAATCAGCAATAGAATCTTAAAAGTTAGTCTGGCAGGAAAATCCTATTATTGGCTTAGTTGTCCTGCACATCATCAAGTTTACAGAAACTGTTCTGATTGGAGATAGTTTATAAAAGGAGGTGAACCATGCTCTTGGACTAGTAAGATCTAGGAGAAAACCTCAGATGGGACAAGATTCCCTTGGTGTGGAAAGAATATCTGGCTACAAAGCATTAACTGATGTGGCTTTGACTTTTTTCTTTTTTTTTTTATCAAAATGCTCCAGAGAAACTGTGATACTTTGAAAGTGCAAGTGTTCCAGGCTAACTTACTTTTAAATGAGATAGTGGGAGTTACAGGATCAAGGGGAGCTAGTTAGGCTACAGTGGAGTTGAACAGAAGTGGAGCAGGAGGGAGGTGTAAAAACAGCTGTTTCCATGGCACTGGGAAAATGGGAAAATAAAGAAAGAGATCCTGAAACAGTGAAGAACAGTCTGGGAGCACTTCGGTGATTTTCTGTTGCTTTTCTCTTAATGAGACTCATTGCTTGTCACATACTCAGTATGCCCGAGCAGACAGGATCTGAGGCTCTGTCACTGAGGTACTAAATTAAAAGATAACAAGGACTGCACTCTTTGCTTTTAGTGTTTATTCTGTGGTGGTCAAAACTTCCTGCCTGACCATTTGCCAAACAGCTATTCTTTTTGGAGCAGCAAGATTACCTGCGTTGTTACAAGGAGTGGTAGTACCACATCACTGTTTTTGGACTCTTGGTTTTTATCAAGGCCTTTTAAAATGTCAAAGATAAAGCAAATAGCTTAATCTGAAAGACATCAGTAAGCTCACCTTAAGCTTGCTTTGACTCATTGATAATAGTTTTATCATTTGTGTTTTTGTCTTACAGCAATCCAGCAAAAGAACAATGTTGCCATGGTGACTCGAGAATGGGTATTAGACAGTGTTGCTTGCTATGAATGCCAGGAGTTCAGTGCTTACCTTGTGTCCTAAGGGTGATCTGCAGTTCATTTTCCATTGCTCAGAGATTCTCATCAGTGCTGATGCTTTAGTAACTATTTTAAGGACAGAGAATTTGTAAGTCAGTTGTATGGAGATGACATGCATGTAATGTTCTTGTTCAGAGTAAAATAACTACATTTTTAATAACAATAGTTACTTAAACAACATTGCCATATAAAGATGGAACTACTGTTTTTTAAAGATTAACGTTTCTAATTTCAAAATAGTCCTTTAAAATTAACGTAAAACCAATTTTTAAAGTTAGAAAATTTAGAACACTGCCTCCTCAGAGAAATGGTGATGTGTTATTTGCCATTCAGCCGGTTCCTGTTTATATACTTGAAGATATTTTGGAGACAGTCACAAGAGTAATACTGGGTTTGGGGCTTGAATTAAAATGTACTTGCACTCCCAAATAACCTCCATATTTTCATTTTGCATAAATACATACCCTGAATAAGGATATATGCCAGTACAATGGAATATTATTTCATGATTACTAATGCATCAGCCTGGTTAATCTTAGGCCATGGATTACAGTTGTTAAAAACTATACGAATAGCTTTCCTGTTGTGTATAGAGGTGTCAACTTGTCCTAACCAGGAAAATCATCCAGAAGTACAGCCCCTGAAAGGCCAACACTTGATTCTCAATGTAAACTAATCCTTAAAACCGCAAGCCTGTACCAGTGTTGTGTATTTCTGAGAAACGTATGAAGAGACAATAAACAGATGCACTTTAGTATCCCAGTGACCTATAATAAGCCCTGTAAGAATCTGTTTCTAATAGTCCCTGCCTGCAAAATAAGACTGCAGAGAAAATAAATTGCTTTTTATGGGAGAAAATATGTCACTTCTTTCTGTTGCCAAGTAATTCAACTTCATAAATAATTTTGTACCTTCAGAGCAGAAAGAACCTGTTTTCATAAAGTTGTTAAAAAAAATTGTAGCAAAGTTCAGAGAATTGTGTAGTGCTCAAATGCTGCTAGGTGTCTTGGAAAGTTATACAGAGTATGTTTATAAATACTGGAATGCTCAAAGGAAATAAAATTATTTTGGCAAGTATTTTACTTAATTGTATAACTCTTGTGTGAATCAGCCACTCAATCTCTGCCTTGAGGCATATATGAAAAAAATATCTGAAGTCCAGCCTTCCTGGAATGGTGGAAAGGAGTGGAGACTTAGTGGAGCAGGTCAAAAATGTAACTTAGCATTTCAGAGCTGGACTCAGAACTGTAATTTCCATCAACCTGAGAAGCAGATGTGTTACCAATGTCTTGCAGTTGCCAAGCGGAGGCAACTGTAGTCTAACTGGGCATTGCTAGTGGTAGCGTAAGCACTGGAAACTTTTGCTCAGTTGATATACATTACTGTTTTATTCTATGTGACAATATTTCGTAACTATTGAGGCTGTTCAGCACAGCCTCACCTCCAGACTGGTGCCCCTGTTACCTCTAGAGTCCACACTGGGGTGTGTGTTTTGGGTTTTGTTTATAATCTACCTTTCAAAAGATAGCTGAGGGGGGGGTGGCTAAATGTTGCCTGTTAGATGCAAGTAAAAGGCCAAGCAAGACTGTTTTGCATCTGCCACTGTGAAATTGTCCCTCAGATCTGGACAGAAACGTTGTCCTTTCTAGCAGGTAAGACATTAGCACTAGGTCCAGCTAGATAATTGTCTGTAGGAATGACACCTGTGACATTGCCCTTCTTCCTTAGAGGTGACTAGACTAGATCTGTGGAAAACAAAAAGCTGGTGCTTGCTGTAGGTTTGCCTGAGGCTTTGCCATCAGGCAAGTACTGTATTTGTAATTAAATCTGTGTCACTGTTGTAACTGAACAGGAGCTTTTCTCGATGCAGCTGTGTCAGTCAACTTCCAAGAAACCTGAGCTCTGTTGTTCAGTGTACGTACCCCGTCCCGTGGTCCCAGCTGCTGGAGCCATCTATTGGACACAGAGCTTTGACCCAGTCTTTCTGGTCAGTACTTTCTTGATCCTATGTTCAGACCATGCTTTCTCTGAATTAGTAGGAGCCTGTGCATCAGAGTAATGCTTTACTGTATGGAAGTTTTTGAAACTACCAGGTGGGGTGGGAGGGGGTGTGGGTGTGGAGCAATTTACTACTTCCCCTTTTCTCTAGGCTGTTAAATGCTACCTGATTCCTAATGCAAAGGAGAGGGATTTACTACTTTTGGGGAATGAAGTACATCCTGTGCTAATGCAAGCTAACCTCGCACTGGGCAGTAGCAGGCTGGCTTGCTCTTGCAGCAACTGCACTAGCATTGTTGCAGCCCATTGCTTTTTCTGCTGAAGATGTTGAGAATCCTTCGCATCTGATTCTGGGTAATACATTTTCCCTGATGCCTGGCTATGCTATGCATGGCTTCTGTTTTTTACTTCACTGAGCCTTCAGCTATATAGAATAGGAATCCTAGCTGTAGCAACAGGCAGGCTCATCAAAAACATTTAGCCTGGATCTTGTCTACTATAGTGTCTGAGATCAGGCACAGCCCAAAGCCTCCAGCCCTGCAGAGCTGTTCTGGGGCTCTGTTCTTGCCTTTTCACCAGCACAAAGGAGGTGAAGTATTTCTGTGAGGCTGCCTTATCTTACCAGAGAAACTGTTAACGAGCCATGGGAGGAGAGAAGCTGTTCAGGGCTTATTTTCTAATATATGGGAACAGATTACTGGTTAAAATTCATGTATGTTAATGAGCTATAGCTTTGTGTTGCATCCTTATCAGCCATGCTGGTGTGGAGGCCAGCGGAGAGTAGCAGCCTGTTACCATTTCAGGCTGTCCTTTACATTTTGCTGCTAGGCAGCATGGAGTCATGCATTGCCAGAGCCCCCTCAGGTTACATTAATGTGGTTAGAATAAATGTGTAATTGTTGTTTGCTTCATAGCTATTGTGGAGGCTGCAGACTGAAGCAATGGGGAGAGGTTTGTGGACTGTAGGGGGTAATTAAGCATCAAAGTAAAAATATTACTCTGTAGTTAAAAGCCCTTTGTGTTTGACAATATTGAATTTCAATGTAGGATTCTACTGCTTCTTAAAGGGAGTTTCTGGTCCTTAAGAGAACAAAACAGCAGACTTATCCTGGAACATGGTGCAGCACATCTGTATCTAAAACGTTTGTGCAGTGCCTCTGATGCTCTTCTCCTTGCTATACCAGACACTTCCTCCACAAGGGAGTGAGACTGAAGCATGTTCCCTGCTCAGAACTCTTGAACATGGAAGAGTCTAGGGCCATCACAGCTGCTGCTGATGATAGTGGAAACACCTGCATGGCATGCACTTGCAGGCTGACTTTGCTGGAAGAGTTAGCATGCTAGAAATTCCAGCTGGGTTTGTTTAGCCTGGAGAAGGCTAAAGCAATAGGGGGTGGGGTACAATTGAAAATCCCCTTTAACACAGCTGCCAAATTATGTCATTTTTTTACAACAACCTGAACATGCAAGATGGTGCCAGCACACTGCTTTTTCCACCTCTGACTGCATCCGGATGTGTAGACTCATCAGTACAAAGGGTAATTGGTGTTGGTGGTGGCTGTTTGCTGGGGAATGCCCTTTGCATTCCTGATAGGGTATGGATGGCAGCTTTTGCTCAACAAGGAGGTGAAGAGGGGCTTGCTTTCCGTGCTATAATGTAGAGATTTTAAATGCATCTACCAGCAGAGCCTTGTCATTATGCATTGTAAATGAGCTGCTTTGAGGCTTGCTCTAGAGGAATATTAAAGTAGCAAATCCATTTAACATATGTAGGAGGCAAAGGAAGGAGAAGACAGCAGCTGGGATTCCCACATCAGGCTCTGTTCTGATTGAGCTGTACAGAGATCTCCATCGTTCTTTCCTGCTTGGGGGTTTAGAGATGAGTTGTTTTGCCTGCAGTCCCTGCCTTGCCACATTGTCGCTATTGTTTGGAAAGGGACTTTACTGCAAAAGTGCATCTTTAATTTATTGGAATGCCAGCTTCCATACCTCCTTCCCTCAGAGGAGCAGTATCTCCCTACTTATGGGACTGATGGCAGAATTTGGGGAGTATGTTAGTGTGGCACAGGGCTTCTGGAAGGGAAAGCTGGATTCCAGTAGGGCTGCAACGTTGTCTCGCTAAGGTCTTTCTCTACACAGCCCCACAGCAGAGCAAAGATTCACGAGACTTCACTGATTTATAGAGAGTGCCTGAGCCTTTTCTGCACTGGGACTGGTGAACCTGACTAAAGGATCGTGGGCTCTGGCAAGCATGTTGTGCTGGCACTACCTAGATTATAAGGGGCAGTCATACAGCAATCACATTAAATGGTGGATCTCAAAACACTTTACAGCTATGGTTGATTCTTCTCTCCTGTTCCCCTTCTTCTTGAGGCTAGATAATTTCTGCCCCTGCTTCATGAGCTGTTTCTGATCCTAACTAGATCAGGAGCGTTTCTGTGTACAGGCTGGAGGCATCTCAGCCCTAGACAGTGCCTGTTTGCCAGACCAACTGCTCCATCCCTGTGAAAGGAGACTGACAAGGGCTTGATTGTGGCTTGGGGGGGTAGGGATTTGTTCAACAAAACTGTCTTTTGCAATAACTTTATTCTGCTGCCTTACATAGGCTTTTCTATGGATGCCTTGAATTTGAGATAGTGTTCCTTTTGACTTCTGTGAAGTTGTACATATTTTGGTACCTGACCTACTAATATTGCTGACGAGCAGCAATGACTACGTGTATAGCTTATTGCTGAAGTAGTTTACTCTCTAAAATCCTCTCTCTGCATTTGGATCCATACACAAAGAGTTATTTCCTTGCAGATCTGAAGCCATTTATAAGAGCAGCTTATTCATGGATGCAATTAGAACACTTGTCTGACTCATTACTAGAGTTAATGGTAAATCAAAGAAATATTCAGTATGTTCCTATAATTATTCTTGATGATTTGCTGGATTGTTTTTGTCTTGGGTCTGGTGTCAGTTTTATTTTGCTGATATTACGAGTAAAAACCTTGTGCATAATCT